TTTTTAGCATTTATTTAATACTTGTATCGTATTCAGATATATTGCGTCAAAATTTTATTCGCAAATTGCTCTCGTCTGGTATTCTATTATCCCCACTAGCTCAAGTAATATCAATATAGTGCATTAAGCACTGGTACATAGACATCTAAACCAGTCGGTAATTTCTCTAATCCTGCCTGCTAATTATTTTTTCTACTCCTAAAATCGTTATATCACAAGGAATATCAAGTTTCTTTGAATTTAATTATTTGTCTTTGTATTTTATTCTTTGGAATTACTCTTCGTGCTATTCAACCGCATTTATCTTCTACATTTTCCGCTTATGCTCTTTTAGCGGCCGTGTCGAGCGCCTTGTTGTCGTCGGTTCTGACTATGTGCGCGTCCATTGCCTACCGATGGACCAGAAATCGTCATACCGCGAACAAGCCGAGGCCGCCAGTGATTTGCCTGCTTCTGGCCCACTTTTAGGAGGCAGTGTGACAGGCCGCTTTAGTGCTAACAGTGAAAGCAGCATGGGTTCAACGCGCTCCGTCTTCTTCAACATTGGTAGTGTAGAACAGTTTGAGCGGAATCTTGCCAGCATTGAAGATAAACTTGGTGTTCCTATGCACGAGCGAATACCAGTGGAATATAAGACACCCTTTGATTGGTTAGTCAAACTGCTTTCAATTGCTTTACACATTTAAGTTATTTTTCCTGATCTATATTTGTCTTAACGCAGAGGTTTTTTTAATTGATCACTTCACTTGCTCTCTTAAGATATTAGTTTTCCCTGAGTTTAGCTATACGGTTTTTTATTAAAATATTTTATATTCTGAAATAACTTATAATTAAAAGTCAAATTATTTGTATAGAATTAGTCGTATTCTAAAGACAACCTAGTTGTACGCACATCGTCCAAAGGAATAGTAACACTAATTTCGTCAAAGTTGGTCAAAGAATTGACTTCAATTATCTCTTTTACGAGTTGTATATCGGTGATGAGAATGGTAAGACTCACCGATGATGCCGGCAAAACATCTGGGAATGTTCCGCGTCCATTGTCATAACTACTATAGCCTACGATTTCTAACAAAGGCCCTTCTACCAATACAACAAAGTTGCGAAAGGGAATGCTATCAAAACAAAGACCAGAACATCTTTGTCTTCTTATCTGTGATCGAATTATCTGGCTTTGCTATCTATACAACCTTAAGCAAGAGTTACTCTAAACTGGATGTAAGCTCTATTCTCATCAGAATTCCGGGCATCTATCTTACGTCGTCGCAGATGA